ACGGCTCAGGTCATGATCCCAGGGTCCTGGGATTGAGCCCCACATCGGGCTCTCTGCTCTGCAGGGAGCCTGCTTCCTCCTCTCTCTCTCTCTGCCTGCCTATCTGCCTACTTGTGATCCTGTCTGTCAAATAAATAAAATCTTAAAAAAAAAAAAAAAACAAAACACAAAGTGGAAAAATAGGCAATGAACACAAAAACCAATACATAAAGGTGAGAAACATGTGAACAAGCGTGTAACTCCAGAAATCAGAAAATGCAAGTTTAAACGAAATACTATCACCTACTCATCAGATTGGCAAACATAAGTAAGTTGGGTAATCCAAGTCTTTTGGGGATGTGAGCAAAGGAAAACACTCATGCCCTGCTGGAAGGGGACTGATTCATGAAATTAGGTATGCAAACACACTACAATCCAGCAAGCTCACTCTTGGGACATACATACAAAAGAAACATTTCCACAGGTAATGCTCTAAATGGTACTGTTGGTAGTATCAGGAACTGGAGTCAACCTAGGTCTATGTCACCAGGCAGTGAAAACATAAAATATGATGGATGCTTACACTAGAACAATATGCAGGAATTACATATGGCATACAAAAAGCAACATGAGTTTATCTTTAAAGGTGTTTTTAAGTTTTGCCTCTGGTAATGTTGGAGAAGCTGTTCCACAGGCAGTTTTCAGCTCTGGATAAAATATAAGCCAACTATCAGAAAGCCTAGAGAGAAACCAGTATCACATAAAACCAGAGACATTAACCCTTAAGAAAAGGTTATGGCAGTGGATGAGTAGCCCCCCTTTTACTCGGATTTTCACCTGAGAGCAGGACTTAACTGGTGCCTGGTTGGCTAGAACTCAAAAGAAATGAGGAATCTCAGTAGTCTGAAGAATCAGAGGACGCACTTTGAAGCTATGACAAGAGATGGACGTGAGGGGAGAAATCTCAGGAAGGAGAGAATGAACGAAAAAGAACTCTAAATTCTGCGGTTAAACTCTGCCTAAATCTCTTATTGACTGCTGAACTATGCATGAACATGGCAGATGTCCAGCAGCCTAAAAGAACTAAACAGAGATTTCAGCCCATCAGCTACAGGGGTGACCACATTTAGTGTGCCATGATCAAAATTAACTGGCTAATATAAAACAAAAACATCAATCTTCAGAAAAATAAAACAAAGTCACTCCAAAATGTATTATTCATGACAGCCCCAGGATAAAATTACCAGATTTATAAAGAATCAGGAAGATTTTACACACATTCAAAAGAAAAGGGAATTAATGAAAATCAACTATGAAATTAGATGATGAAATCTGTAAATAATTTTAAGGCAGCCACTTTAACAATTCATGGACAATAAGAAAAATATAATCTTAATGAGTGAATGGGTAAGAAATTAAAGCATGGAAAGAAACAAAAAAAAATCTAAAAACTGAATAAAAAATAAATAGAAATAAAATTCTGGTAATTTTAATTTAATTCTGGTAATTATAATAAAAAATTTTCTAAAAAATGGTTTCTAAAAACTGAAAAACATCTGAAATTCAAAAAATCACTGGATAGAACAGAAACTGAATAGCAGATTGGAGACTTAAAAATAAAAGCCATCCAAAGATAAATGAGGCAATAACAGTCTACCATACATGTAACCGGAATCCAAGAAGGGGAAAAGAATGGAGCAGAAAAGATATAATATGATGGCTAAGACCTTCCAGACTGATGAAAAATATCAAATCCCATGTCTAAAAGACTAAGAAAACCACAAGTAGTATAAGTATAAAGAAAGAAACAGGGTGGCTCAGTGTGTTAAGCCTCTGCCTTCAGCTCAGACATGATCTCAGGGTCCTGGGATCGAGCCCCGCGTCGGGCTCTCTGCTCAGCGGGGAGCCTGCTTCTCCCTCTCTCTCTGCCTGCCTGTCTGCCTACTTGTGATTTTTTTCTCTCTCTGTCAAATAAATAAAATCTAAAAAAAGAAAGAAAGAAACAATCCCTGGGCACTTCATAGACAAATTCTTAAAAACCAAATGGAAAGAGACCTTTGAAAAGCGCCAGAGAAAAACAACAAAATACAAAGGATACAACAAGAATGACGGCCAAGTTAAATATAACGGACTAGACATTCCAAACAAAAAAGATGTCCAGAAAAGATTTAGAAAAGACCCAAAAATATACCGTAAGAGATGCGCGTTACATATAAACACACAAGAAGGTTGAAATAAAAGGATGAAAACGATACCATGCAAACAACAAAGCATTAGAAAGCTGAAGTGACCAGATTCAGATCAGATTAAGTAGGCTTCAAGGCAAAGATTATTACCAGGGATAAAAAAAAAATATTTCATAATGATACAGAGCATCAGGATGTAACAGTAACAATAAAAGAGCTTCAAAATACATGAAAAGACTGACAGAATTAACATTGATACAACACTATTAACCTACATAATTTATTCCAATTTCACGAACTGTCCAAGAGATAATCCAAGATCCCATACTATGTTCAGGTTGCATGTCTCCTTATTCTCCTCCAATCTGGGACAGATCCTCTGTTTTTAATTTTCAGCACCTCGACACATAAAAAGTACTGGCTAGTTACTTTGAAGAATGTCCCTTGGAAATTAGTTAAGTACCACCTCGTGAGAGATAGTCATCTTTCCTCATTCATTGACTGAAATTCTCCATAAGTAAAAAAAGTGTCCCCTTTCTTCCATTTATTTGCCATTTATAGTCACAATTTGTACTATCATAATTCATTTATAAATGAATATAAATAAATTCAAATATAAATATGCAATATAAATTCATTTATATTCGTTTTCTTAAAGCATTTATAATTAATACAGAATTATTCATTTCAGTATGAGCTAAAACAGATACATTTATTCTGTATCTTATATTTCATTATTATAATTGGTTTCTAAACTTGTATCCGATTTGTTGATTAGAAACCCCATCCCCTCAAACTGACTCAATGAGGTAATAATTTTGTTTGCTAAATTTCTACTTAGTACTTTTACACCAATATTTATTACTGATATTGGCCCATATATTGCTTCCCTTTTGTACTATTTTTATCAGGTATACTTGCTTCAAACGGAGAAATGGGGAAAAACAGTATTATGGTTCCTCAAAAAATTAAACGTAGAATTATCATAAAAATCCAGTAATTTCACTTCTAGTTACACATCAAAAGGAATTAAAAGCAGGGATTCAAACAGATATTTGCACACTCATGTTCATAGCTGTATTATCAATAGCCAAAAGGTGGAAGCCACACAAGTGTCCACCA